AAAAGAAAACATCAGTGAATACCTTCTGAACCTCTGGTGTTTTAACACATAGAAAAATGTTGATCATGCACTGCATAGAGGTCAATGATGAATGGTAAAAGGTCTGAGTCCTCAGATCCCCTCCCAGCATCCCAGTTATCCCCAGCTGCCTCTCCTCCATCGCGCTTCAGAAGTGCTGTGATGGGCAGAAGGGCAGCTGACGCTCCGTGATGTCCCTCATTCTGTGTTCCTCCGTGAGCTCAGGGAAGACACTGGTTGGCATCCAACAGCTTAGTCACAAAGGGATTTGATTGTTGGGAATGCTGATATCTGTGGCTATGATCAGACTTGTTCAAGCTGAGACCTCTGATTGAAAATCCCCCAGGGGTTTTAATTGTTTACATAGAGTCCTGATGTTGCCTTTTGTAAATTATGCTTGTGGTGACCTTGTCTAGTCTGACTTTAAATATGGAACTGACTTTCAGCAGCATGGGGCAAAATCAAGGCTTTAAACTTTTTAAAATTTGATATAATCCAGACATACAAAAAATTACAAAAACAGTACAGCAGATATCTGTGGTAGAGCTGATTTCAAATTCAAGACTGAGGATGGGGAGCACGTGAAGCTTGGTCCTAGTGATGTTCAGTTTTTGTTTTTAATGTTATTTTTAGTGGGAGTTTTATCCTTTTGGTCTTGATACCTCACATTTGGCCAACACTCAAAGATAGGCTTCCTATGAAATGTGTGGCCTCTGGATAAGACTCAGGAATGAAATTGTTGCTTCGTATCCTGTTTGGGATTTGTGTGTGTGTGTGTGTGACAGGATCTTGCTGTCACTCAGGTGGAGTACAATGACATTATCATAGTTCACTGCAACCTCGACCTCCCAGGCTCAAGCAATCCTCTTGCCTCAGCTTCCCAAGTAACTGGAACCCCAGGCACATGCCACCACTCCCTGCAAATTTTTGAAAAAAGTTTTTGCAGAGATGGGGGTTTCACTGTGTTGCCCAGGCTGGTCTTGAACTCCTGGGCTCAAGCAGTCCTCACACCTTGGCCTCCCAGCATGTTGGGATTGCAGGCATGAGTCTGTGCCTGACCTGTGTCTTTTTCCTTTGCTGTCTTATCGCTTTGAGTGTTCCTGGCCGGATCTCAGGGTGGTCTGACACTCTGACTGGAGGTAAGGATGCTGTGGATGCTTTGCCAGCATAGGCAGGGCCTGGCGCCCTGAGGCTCACCCTGGCTGTGTTCTCTCCTAGCACACACTCACGGGACATAGTGGGAAAGTGCTGTCTGCTAAGTTCCTGCTGGACAATGCGCGGATCGTCTCAGGAAGTCACGACCGGACTCTCAAACTCTGGGATCTACGCAGCAAAGTCTGTGAGGAAATTCAGTCTCTCTGTCTGTGTATATGCTTAGATGTTAGCGTGGAGGTGTGTGTGTGTGCACGTCAGAGCCTGTATTTCTGTAATATAGTTTGAATTTCAGATCTGGTTTCACGTTTAGAGGGGCACTGAGGGTAGTGATAGTTTTTCTTGTTTGAGCCTTCATTAAGTGAGTAACTCTGACAAGTCAGTGGTTCGAGGGTAGCAGCATTATGTAAACAGCCACGTTGGTGCCTCTGCTTGATTAATGATGTTTGCGTTTCTTTCAGGCATAAAGACAGTGTTTGCAGGATCCAGTTGCAATGATATTGTCTGCACAGAGCAATGTGTAATGAGTGGACATTTTGACAAGAAAATTCGTTTCTGGGACATTCGGTATGATACCCAAGCGCCTGACAGGAGGCACATGAGAGTCTCCACAGTGATAGTTCTGTATATGGGTTGTGCTTTTAAAATCTCAGGACATGGCAGAAATGAGCTTCAGTACGTGCATGTTTAGTGTTAGCTTATTAACATTCGGCTGTTCTTTCCCGTGAAGTAGCCTGTGGAGCTTAGCAGTCATTTATTGAGCATGCAGTGAGTGCTGGGCCCTTCACCAGCTGGCAGGTGAGAAGAGGCACACAGGATACTCTTTCTCGCTTTAGGTAATTTAAACTGTAGTAGGGAAGGCAGACACAAAAGTCAGTGACTCGTGTGTTGAAGTAGAGGCAGGTCCCTTTGCCCAAGTGTGCTAAAGAATGCCTCTCCGGATGTCTCCGGAGACTTGAGTAGGATTCACACAGCAGGAAAGCCGCTCAAACTTTTGAGTGTGTGTCTGGTGGCTGATACATGGCAAGTGGGCAGAAGCCAGTGAGGTGGCTATGGTGCGTTGAAATCAGGTTGCCACGGGCTTGATAAGCCATTTTCAAATGACTCGATCCCGTAAGTCGTTGGGTGTTTAGCAAGGAAATGGTTGCTTTGCAGGAGTCTAGTAGATGACTTTGGTGGCATTTTGAGAGGGCATATTGGGGAACAGGAAATCAAAAGAGTTGATAAGGACCTAAGTTCAAGTCAGTAGAGGAACATGTGGAGGAGGGAATCTATTTGAAGGAGAATTTGGACAGGGCTTGTTGACAGGTTGGAGGCAGAGGATGAGGAGGGGGAAGACAGGATGGAGAGTAAATGAGGACAGCCTCCCAGCAGGGATGTAGAGAGGGCGGGGGTACAGGGCCCGTGGTGATGGATGATGCTTTGAAACACAGCATGGCACCAGAAAGTCCTGACAATGCTCATGGTTCCTGGACACCACTTCACATTTTATTCATAATCTTTAGTTTGCTTTTAAAACCTGAAACTGGAACTTGAAACATGGAATTTGAGAGTTAAGCTGGATGTTCGAAGTCTCTTAGTCCATCCCATAATTTGACCCCGAGTCCCAAGGAAGTGGAGTAGCTTGCTTCAAGCTGCATATTTAGCAACAGTCAGATAAATTCTTGCTTAGTTACGGTGTGAGGTAGAAAATGGTTTTGTTGAAGGCTTACAACAAAGTCATCACAGAACAGGTCAGCGCCCACTTTGGCTGTAAATGTCACCAACAGGGCCCTGCCCGGGGTGGCCGTTAGCCGACCTGGACATGGGCCGGAGCACAGAGAAGAAGAAGGAGGTGCATAGAACCATGGCTCTGCCCTGGCTTTCCTGGCCCCAAGTCTAGAGGTGGAGGGCCACAGAGCCACACTGAATAGGGCAGAAAACCTGCAAGAGCCTACAGGGGTTACACTTACAAGGCAGCCCAGGCCTGCGAATGCACATTTCTTTGCCAACTTTATCCAAAAGTTGAAATCACATCACTGAACTAATACTAATTGGGTAGTAGCCCTAGTTAGCTCATGCTGATCAGAAACTCTGATTGGCGACTGTTGTCATCCCAAAAATGGATGAGGAAATTCTGACCAACTTCAGAGTTCCAGTCTGGAAATGACTGTCTTAGGGTCTATTGATGAGAAAGTAAGAAAAGCGGTCACAGGTTATTAGAAGGCTGGGAACACATTTACTGCGCTGGCAGAGCGTTGCATGCTAGTTGAATTGCAGTGCCTTTTTTTCCTCCATGGCATGAGGTCTAGTTTGGCCTATGTTACATTTCTCAAATCTGTTGTGCCTCTTAGATCAGAGAGTATAGTTCGAGAGATGGAGCTGCTGGGAAAGATTACTGCCCTGGACTTAAACCCAGAAAGGACTGAGCTCCTGAGCTGCTCCCGGGATGACTTGCTAAAAGTTATTGATCTCCGAACAAATGCTGTCAAGCAGACATTCAGGTAACTGAAGACGTGCTGGTTGCATGAAGACCAGAGTCCCAGCCCTGCTCTCTTACGTGCTGCATGGCCTGAGCTCCCTGAGTGACAGTGCCCTGTTGTTTGTTTCAGTGCACCTGGGTTCAAGTGCGGCTCTGACTGGACCAGAGTTGTCTTCAGGTTAGTAGTGACCCACCCCCTGCCAATTTGGTTCATCACAAAGAGTTCTGTGTGGGCATTTTCCCACTGGGGATACAGAGCTAAATTTTGTTCAGTGCCCAACCTGTGTTTCCAGGAATGTGCTTGTAAGTTCATTATTGCAGGCCACCGTTATTGTCTCTTTCCAGTGTTCCTTTTGTGATTACAGGAACCTAATGTGTTGTACCAAAAAATAACAGTTGGCTGGTTGCTTTCTTCTGGGTGAGCCCATTAGGTACACTTCTCATCACTCATTCACGCAAGAACTATTGCCTCACACCTTAAGTTTGGAAGGTGTGAGAGCTTTGGAAAAGGGCAGGAATGGCAGTGGGCCTGGGGTGGGACTGAAAAGCCTTTTTGAAGAAGGGTGTGCAGGTGGTCTGCAGTTTTCCGCTCCTTGTTCCCTTCTTCCATGTATCGTGCTTCTTCCAAATACGTTTCCAGGCTCGGTTGCTAAGATGCTGCTTTTCTTTCCTCCTCCTCTTTGAAGCATGTAACAAGGCAGTCCACGGGCTGAAACCCTTAGCTATGTGGAGGTTGGCTTTGATCTCCCTATATGTTGTTTTGTTCAAGTCTGTAGATGGTTAAGGACTTGGAGCCCCAAGAAGTAATGTGATGCCACTCTTCATTAGCGGATGGTGCTGAAATACTGGGGAAAAGCAGATTTGGCTGGAAGGGCCATGAATAGCACACATTCTGAGGTCTAGGTACACAGGAGTGGCCATCAGTGAAGAACAAACATTCCTTCTGGGAAAAAGGCCACGGAGATGCTGAATGGGGGATGGGGAATTGACAGCCTTTCCTTTCTTCCTGTCTTCTCTAGTCCTGACGGCAGTTACGTGGCGGCAGGCTCTGCTGAGGGCTCTCTCTACATCTGGAGTGTGCTCACAGGGAAAGTGGAAAAGGTTCTCTCAAAGCAGCACAGGTAAGACGAGCCCTGTCTCAGCGCCCCCTTGCGTTGTGAGCACGGCCTTTGACTTGATCTCAGGGTCATCCAGTTTAGACCTCAGTCAACACCATGAGGGCACTGCCCGCCCACCCACCTGCTCGGCTGACTGAGCTAGGTCAGTGGAGAGAAGCTGGGGCCATTCACAGCACAGCAGGCCACAGTCTACAGAGTACTCCAGGTAGAGCGGTTAGAGTGGCGGCCGCTGGAGAAAGGGTTATAGAAACACATCCCTGTCTCTTTGGTTATGTCCCATGTCCTCTGTGTCTCCTTCCCCTTCTCTACTCTCCTTCCTTTCTGCCTCCCTCTCTCCCTTGGAAGTCCCTGTTGTCAGTGCATTGACATGTCCTAAACACTAATTTCCACACACCTTATTTTATCTTCCACCTGATAGGCAGGCCCCAGACCCCCTTTTTTCCTAACTTTGTTCTGCCCACACAAGCCCACCTGCTAGTCGGAAGCCAGATACCATTTTCCTTCAGAACCTTCTCTCCCTGCCCTTGGGCAGCAGCAACTGCTCCCAGACCTAACCAGTGCTGGCCACCACTGCCTGGCTCTTCAGAGGCATGTGTCCTGTCTCTTTCCAGCTCACCCAGAGCTCCTCTCTTGGGGAGAGTGTGATAAGCGCTGACTGCCAAAGGGGCCAAACTCCCTTCATCCCAGCGTGACTTAATTAAGTACACCACTGGATTTTTCAGAGGTCTTTTGCATTGTAGTGAGCTCCTGCCTTGCTGTGGGCACAGTGCCAGAGAGTGAAATGGAAGTTGGCAAAATTGTGACTCCCTGAGTGCACAAGCTTCTGGTGTTTAGTTTACTAAGATCTCATCCCAAATGTTCTGAAACTTGGTACTTTTCTGATCTCTCCTTTGAAGCTCGTCCATCAATGCGGTGGCGTGGTCGCCCTCTGGCTCGCACGTTGTCAGCGTGGACAAAGGATGCAAAGCTGTGCTGTGGGCACAGTATTGACGGGGCTCTCAGGTCTGGGAGGACCCCAGCGCCCTCCTCAGAAGAAGCACGTGGGCTCCCGCAGCCCTGTCCTGGCAGGTGATGTGCTGGGTACAGCATGGACCTCCCAGAGAAGCTCGAGCTATGTGGCACTGTAGCTTTGCCGTGAATGGGATTTCTGAAGATTGGACTGAGGTCTCTCTTGGCCTGGAAGAATAACACTGAAAAAACCTGACGCTGCGGTCACTTAGCAGAGGCTCAGGTTCTTGCTTTGGGAAACACTACTAGCTCTGACCTTCCATACCTCACTTGGGGGAGCACAGGGCCCCGCTGGGCCTCCTCACCAAGGGCAGTGCCAAAAACAGCCCCCACATCAAGGTGGTGTTCTCTGTGCTTTCTCTCATCCTTCCAAAGTTGGTTCTGGCCTGACGCATGTCCCATCACCGTGGGGTCATTTGCCCGGTGAACTCACTTTAAGCATTGGATTAACGGAAACTCCAAGGCTACAGACCCCTCCCTGGTGGGCTGCATGAATGTGTCTCATTACTGCTGAAATTTCCTCAGATCTCTTCCACTGTTCTTCAGAGCTTTCTGGCTCTCTTTCCCCCACAAAATTCGACATATTTAAAGATCTCTGTGTGGTTTAAAAAAAAATGTTTTTATGTTTTTTTGAGGTGGGAGAGGATGTGAGAAAATCTTTTCCAGGGAAATGGGTTTGCTGCAGAGGTAAGGATGTGTTCCTGTATCGATCTGCAGACACCCAGAAGGTGGGTGCACACTGCATGCTTGGGGTGCCAAGGGATTTGAGACCTCCAACATATTTGTCTGAAGCTGGTGATTCTGGCCACGGCCCCTCTGCCAAGCCTGTGTGCCATGCCCTTGGTGCTTTAGTGCAAGAAGCCCAGACTCAGAAGCACAGCAGTGCCATCTTTCCGTTTCAGGGGTTGTGATGAAGGCCAAGGAAAAGCATTTATCTTTACCATTTTACCTGTGTATAAAGTTTTAGTTCATTGAGTGTGCAAAACACCCTTATCACTTTTAAATTTGCACTTTATTTTTTTTCTTCCATGCTTGTTCTCTGGGCATTTGGGGATGTGAGTGCTAGAGCCAGTGAGAGGTGTCAGGCCGCCTTCCCACTGATGGTCCTGGCCTCCACCTGCCCTCTCTTCCCTGCCTGGTTGCCACTTTCCAATTTGTCCTTCAGAGAACTTAAGGAGAGTTGAAATTCACGGGCCAGGGCACATCTTTTATTTATTTCGTTATGTTGCCCAACAGAACTTGATTGTAAATAATTAAAAAGAAATCTGTTATATACTTTTCAAACTCCATGCCTCTTAGTGATTATTTTATTCTCCCTTATCCTTAGAAAGGGGAAAGAAAGTGATTTCTTTGTTTACCTGGTAGTTATTTGTAAACAATGGCTAGTACTTTTTTTTTCCCATTTACCAAGTGTTTATTGTGTTTTTCGTTTGTTTGGTTTTTTTAACTGCATGATTCCATTTATATAAAATTCTAGAAAATATAAACAAATCTATAGTGGCAGAAAGCAGATTATTGGTTGTCTGCAGATGGAGGGAGGGGGAGGAATGAATTACAAAAGACCACAAAGAAACAATTTGGGGCGATGGAAATGTCTGTTACCTTGATTGTGATGACGGGTTTATACCTATATACATATGTCAAAGCTCATCAAATTATGTACTTTAAATATGGGCAGTTTATTGTATGTCTGTCCCTTAATAAAGTTGAGGCGGGGAAGAGAGAGAAAGGCAAACACATAGAAGGAGGAAGGAAGACAGGCAGGAGGTAAAGAGGGAGGGAGGAAGGAGCGAGAGAGCGTTGAACAGCTCCGCCTTGGATGTGCCTCTCCGTTGCCATTGACCGGCTTAACTGATGCACTTTCCCATTTACTGGGAGCAGTCTGGGAACCAGGTTGAATTGTGTGGAGTGTCCTACTTGTTTGTTTGTTGTTGTTGTTGTTGTTGTTTATATACTTTTAAGTTGTAGGGTACATGTGCACAACGTGCAGGTTTGTTACATACGTATACATGTGCCATGTTGCTGTGCTGCACCCATTAACTCATCATTTACATTAGGTATATCTCCTAATGCTATCCCTCCCCCGTCCCCGTTCCCCACAATAGGCCCCAGTGTGTGATGGTCCCCTTCCTGTGTCCAAGTGATCTCAATGTTCAATTCCCACCTATAAGTGAGAGCATGTGGTGTTTGGTTTTCTGTTCTTGCGTTAGTTTGCTGAGAATGATGGTTTCCAGCTGCATCCATGTCCCTACAGAGGACACGAACTCATTCTTTTTTATGACTGCATAGTATTCCATGGTGTATATGTGCCACATTTTCTTAATCCAGTCTGTCACTGATGGACATTTGGGTTGATTCCAAGTCTTTGCTATTGTGAATAGTGACAATGGCTAGTACTTTTTAATGGTCTTTTCTCGTTCATCATGTAAGCTCCACTCCACAAAGTATCACTCCCTGTAAACACTAGTGTTCCAGTTTCATGTCACGCAAATCTTAACGGACACTGGAAAGGTGTTTCTTCAGAACGTTACCAGCTGCAGTAGAAGAGCCCCGCACGGATTGCTCTTCAGCCCCGCACACGGAGCCTTTCTCCAGTGAAACGCCACGCTGGAGAGGCATTCACTTGTGGTGGCTCAGATACCTGACACACAGCCTGAGCTGTGACAAGTGATGACCACCCTGCTCAGCAAACTCAGCCAGTCTCCACTTAGCCTAGCACCTGCAGTCAAGGTGCCATCAGGGTCTGAAGTCTGAGGCAGCCAGCACTTGCACAAAGCTGGATGAAGGCGAGATGTGTTGGCTCACACCTGTAATCCCAACACTTTGGGAGGCTGAGGCAGAAGGATCACTTGAGGCCAGGAGTTGGAGGCTACAGTGAGCTATGATTGCACTCCAGCCTGGGTGATAAAGTAAGACTCTGTCTCTTAAAAAAAAAAAAAAAGTTGGATGAGCCCTTTGCAATCACTTCAAGAAGGTGAGTCTCCAAATAGGCCCCAAACAAGTGTTCGAATAGTCTCAGATCATGCTGTTTTTGCATTTGGAGGGAAGCGTGGCTGTTCTCTGCTCAGCCTGAGCTCCATTCCAGTCCCGTAACTGCCCGCCAGTGCTGAGGTCAACGCGAGGGTCTCACAGCACCGGGGAGTGTGGCTGCCCTTTAACTCCCTGCCTAGGGTGTGGACAAGGGCCTTTCCAGCAGCTAGTTGTGTTTTTATTTCTTTTTTTTTTTTTTTTTTTTTTAGACTGGGTTTTGCTGTGCTGCCCAGGCTGGAGTACAGTGGTATGGTCACTGCTCACTGCAGCCTCGACCTCCCAGGCCCAGGCGATCTACTCCCTCAACCTGAGCATACCACCATGCCTGGCTAATTTTATTTTTAATAGAGATGGGGTCTCACTAGGTTGCAGGAGGGTCTCCAATGGCAGTGCCAAAAGCAGTCCTCCTGCCTCAGCCTCTCAAAGTGCCAGGAGTATGGGAGTGGAGCCACTTTTGTTTGGCCCTATTTTTCTTTATGTTTTTATTTTTATTTTTTGAGATAAGGTCTCTGTCACCCAGGCTGGAGTGGAGTGGCACAATCTTGGCTCACTGCAGCCTCTGCCTCCCAGGCACAAGTGATCCCCCCACCTCTGTCTCCCGAGTAGCTGGGACTATAGGATAGGTTGGTGCCACTACAGCCAGCTAATTTTTTATATTTTGTAGAGACGGTTTCACCATGTTACCCAAAGCCTTATTGTTAAAGTGCATACTGTTCATATGCTGCCTCTTACCATAGATGTCCCAAAGCCCCTCCTGCTTTCACAGCATGGCACCCGATGTTTCGTGGGGACACTAGGGTGAATGGATGAAGAGGCTGCTCTTAGGCTCCAGGAGCAAGTCGGCTGGGAAGTCGCAGGTTGCTGAGTGTACCAAATCCTGCACAACTACCTGAGTGTCTGTAGCACAACAGCAATCTTAATTGATTAGATCTTTTCTTTCTTTTGAGGTAGGGTCTCATTCCAGTTGCCCAAGTGGAGTGCAGTGGTGCAGTCTCAGTTCACTGCCACTTTGACCTCCTAGGCTCAGGTGATCCTCCCACCTCAGCCTCCCGAGTAGCTGGGACTGCAGCCACCTGCCACCATGCTTCGCACATTTTTTTTTTTCTGTATTTTTAGTAGAGATGGGGTTTTGCCATGTTGGCGAGGGTTGTCTCGAACTCTGGACTCAAACAGTCCACCCGTCTGCCTTCTCAAAGTGCTGGGATCATAGACATGAGCCACAGCACCTGGCCACGCCCACAGGGACAGGTGTGACGCTAAGCCGTGTCTTCAAAAGTGAATGGACTGTGCTTCTCCACATGGCCTTTTCTAGTGTCCTGCTTTAATAAGTCCGGCTTATGTTAGAAATTCCTATTTTCCATCCAAAAAACTTTGGAAATCCCAGCACTTTGGGAGGCCGAGGCTGGCGGATCACGAGGTCAGGAGATTGAGACCCTCCTGGCTAACACAGTGAAACCCCATCTCTACCAAAAATACAAAAAATTAGCCGGGTGTGGTGGTCCACACCTGTAGTCCCAGCTAGTCAGGAGGCTGAGGCAGGAGAATCG